CTGTCTGTCTTTTCTTCACGCCTAAACTACTGAACCTATTTGTGTGAAATTTGGTGCAGACATATGTAGTTTAGAACTCGAAAAAGGACATAGTATGGTTTTTAAACCAAAAATCTGCAGGAAGTCACTATTCCACGCGAACAAAGTAGCTGGCAAAATCTAGTTTGTAAATAAAGTAGTGGCTAAGTGAATTTAAGTTTTTTTAAATAACGTTATTTTTAAATCAATAGATGATAGGTAGCGTTTTATAGGTATGAATATTACTATGCACATACGCTATCATTGAGGTCCCAAAATAATTGATAGCCGCTTAAGTACGCGCCTGTGGACATGTGTAACACTGAAGTGTGAAAGGGTAAATGTATTAGCATAAAAGGAAATCCTAAATAATTTATATAAATTGTCATTTTTTGTTTAATAAAAAGTTACCACTAACAAAAACAATAATATTTGGCACAAAGATAAATTAAGTGCCTACATCGAACGTCCTTTTTACCTTAGTAAGTACGGTTCAGCAGTTGAGAGCAGTAAACGATAAATGTAGGTACTCATAACATTCATTTGATAAAGCTAGTCTTCAATAAAGACGAAAATCTTAAACTAAGTACCTACAAAACCTAGTCAGAGCCAACACTAGGCGGCACATTAAATTCGAGTCGCGGTATGCACTTCTACTTGTAGATACCTACAAGCAAACAACTAAGACTGCACGCAATTAAAATGTGGAATAACAACATTAAAGACAAACAGGTTCTTAATAAATTGATAACATCTAAGCACGAGCGCTGATAGCCATCTTGATTGATCAGATAACTTGTTGAGTGCATTACACCAACTTATATGTGGTTATGGTAATTATACTAAATACAGCCGATTTTAATATTACAGGTTAATAATTTATAAGCTTTTTCCTTTTCAGTCTACACCGTAAGTGTGTAAGTCGTTTGCATAGAAAGGAATATTTGGTAGGGCAGAATCCGAATGCATTGTACTATTCAGTCAAATCTTATTAAGACTAGTCCAACAGAACCTCCAGGTTGGTGGGGTGGCGTAAAGCCGCAGAAGATGCAGGATAAGGAACGGAGTGGATTTTGTCTGTCTGAGTTTGAATTGCTGAGAGCTGAGTGAGTCCCTCTTGCCCCATCCAGTATTAGAGAAATCATTACATCAATTTTACCCGCTCAAAAATAGGCCACTAGTGCCTATCAGAATAATATAATTATCATGTACTTAGATACGGAATAGGAACCTACAAAATGTCGAAACAAAAGCAAATTATACAGGTGACAACTCCTCGCATCGCCGCAGATGACTTTATAATGTCTGTGAAATAAAGCTAAACGTTAATGTAGCACACAGGCAATCACAAACAGTGTAGTGGCAATAAATGGTCCTAACAATGGTGTAATCACCGGTCTTTCGACCCTTAACCCTCGCTCAAGTTAACACCGTCAGACGGCGGTCGTCAAGACCGAAAGACATTAAACTCAATGTAACGCCGCGGCGGACCCGTATGGCCGCTCAGCGATTATCTTAAAGTTAACCCTGTCGTTACGATCCTTATTTGCGGTTGCACTGCGCTGAGAACGCTCCCCGCCTGTTAAGTTAGGATCACATCAAATTATATTGGAAAGTAAATTTTAACACATCTGGTGAATGCGCGGTCTTTTTCAGCCTGTGTTTTGTCGAATTTGTAAATTACATAATAATAGCTGTCGAAACGCCCGAAGAAGTCGAAAAGTAGCAGTAAATGCCTTTGGAAACTGAACACAATTTTTTTACCGTGGACATGAAATAATGGATATTGAAAATATTAGTAAGTTAAGCTTTTGACTGAAATTCTAAAAAAATCATAACAATTATCATATATCTAAGTAGGTACTTTTGGTTGTACCTACTTACATAGATACGAAATCCATTTTTCAAGGAATCACACATATTTATTATAAAATTCCACCGAAATTCTTTCACGCCTTTCAATAAAATGCGACACTATCCAATTCATGTCTCCAATTACCTGAATAGCAAAACTCAATATGAATAAATGTCAGATAGAACAGTCTCGAATGTGAACGCAGCCTACTCGTCCTCCTTGTAAGAGTAACAAGGCACTCGGGCAGTTACAATGTTCTCCGAATGAGATGCGAGTCGGATGGCCGCTTTGCGTCACCACCTAGCCATTTGTCCGATATTGGACCGTTACAACTGAACACCGCACACGTCAGCTTCGATTATGTGCTTCCCATACTCGTACTTTTGTTTTCAATGTTCTTTAGAATGTTTGGTTTGTAACCAGAATAATAAGAATTTTATTTTCGTAGAACAATATTTTTGTTTGTTTAGTTTTACCAATGTGGATCGATGGACAGACGATTGCCGTGCCCGTAGTAGGCTAATCATAACCTACTAGCTTCCGACCGCGGCTTCGCCCATTTGGCATGATGATAAAGATAACCTGTGATAATCCAGGATCATCATCCACCTGTCGCCTATCTACATACCAAATTGGTACAGCCGTTTTTGCGAGAAATAATAACAAACATACATACATACATTCTCACAAACTTTGACATTTATAATATTAGAAGGATAACATTTTACGCGTTATACACTGTTCTTTCTCCACCTATCACTTCAGGTAATGACACCATGACGTTTTATTATGTTACCGAATTCTGCCATCCACCGTATTCCGCTTCAAAAGCTAACTGCAAGAAACGGATAAATAGCAAGCAGGTACCTAACCTTTCCACACTCTGCTTTTTTGTGAGGGGAAAATCATTAAATGGCTTCACCCGGCTAGAATCGGGTCGAAGGTAGTGTCACTCTTACGGACTAAAAACCCTCATGTTTCTTCTCCAGCTCTAGGCCGAGGCCGGTGACTCATTGCGCTTACCCCGCAACCCCGGTGTGTGGTGTTTCATTGTTGAGGCGCGCGCGGAACGCTGCTCAGGCCAGGCAGGGCACATCGCCGCCGTGTGCTCCACCTTGTCCTCCAATTGGTCCTCACAGTGACGAGAATCGAGCTTTTCCTCCCGCCGGATTCGAAACAGGAACCTACCAAAGCTGCCGTGCCTGGTAAGCACTTGCGTCAGGTGAAAGGTGAGGACGCCGTAGCGTCTCTCAAACCATTCCTCTTCCACACTATAAGTTTGCGTTCACTGTCTTACATTTACCGAAACACGTCTAACCGTCAGTAAACAGATTTATTTTACAATTTTAGCAAAATTTACAGTTAGATAAGACTTATAAAAAAATTAAGTTAAATGAATTTAGCACTCAATCTCGTCAGTAGCGTACCTTGGATCCCGTTTCATGTAGCTACACAGATAGGTAGGTACAATTATAAATTTAACGGAAGTGAAAAAGGATATTGATTTCAAATTTATTAAAACCCTGTAAGATTGACATAGGTAACAAAACAATAATTAATATTTGGCTTTCCCCTGGGATTCTACATAGTGAATATAGTTTTCTCCGATACTCACATCATTATTAATAACTGGCACAGAAGCATTCACTAGGAATGATTCGTAATCACTATAAACGAAGCCCTGGCATGCCCGAATTATGCCGTAAGGGCCTACGGTGGTCGGACCAGAAAAAAATCTTGTACCAAAATATGGGTTAGCAATAAAACTATTTACTGTAACTTCCTCACCACAAATCGCATCTAATATTGTATTACAAAATTCGTTAACAGACCAGGCAATTGCTAAAACAGCTGATTCGCAGCCTTGTTTCTGGAATACTATTTCTGTTCCGGACTTCCTCAGAAGGCGCGTTAATGTGTCTGCTTGGCATGGATCTATATTGTATTCATTTGGTGTAATGTTTGAGAATAAAGGTATTATAGTCTCTTCTGAATGTCCCCCAATAACAGGCACACATAAGTGTTTAGTGCTTACATGCAAAGCGTTTGCAGCGTAAGTTCGTGCTCTGGCAGTATCTATGTGCGTTACGCCAAATACCTTAAAAGGATTATAAGTTCCGTATTTATACATAAGTGCGCTCGCAAAAGGAACCAAAGAATTTAAAGGGTTCGTTGCAATTGCAAAAAAAGCTGTAGGATTTTCGTCAGCAATTGCTCGACATAACCTTTGCAAAGCGGGAGCATTAGCTGCAAGCATTTGTTCTCTCGTATTTCCTGGTTTACGAGGAACTCTTTGCACCATCACAACGAGATCAGATTCTCGGACCGCTGCGTTCAAATTACTATCCCCAGCGAATGCTGTAACGTCCGGTCCTCCTGGCAAAAGAGACAATTCCATTGCAGTTCCTATTATTTTCTCATCATCGTCATACAACTGCAGTCTCTGTAACTTCTTATTCCGTTTCAGCAAAAGTGACAAGTTTGATCCAACTTCTCCTCCAGCCCCGATAACAGACACTTGAACATTTCTCACTTGCTTAAATTGCATATTACAAAGAAATAAACAACGATTTAGTAGCTTCCTGGTAAACATGGTTGCCAAAGATTTGTTTTTCTATATTTTTACAGAATCTTTATTATTTTTATTACATTGTAAATAAAATTTGACTCCGTTTGAACGTCAAGTGCCAAATAAAAGCAGAAACAAGCAGATAGAAGGACGAAATCATAAAGTAGATACCAGTAGATTGGTATCTACTTTATGATTTTATCCGTCCGATTTCGATTTCATCCTTAGTATGGAATAATTATATATTCTTGCTGCAATAAAATAAGTCTTAAAATACTTAAATACTCTAAAGCTCGAAATAAACCAAACCTAAGTTTTTTAGATATCTTTTTACCAGACTATTAAATTGGCATTCGACCTTTTTACCCGTCACAACACAGTTGCATTACCACACCTATTTTTTAAAGTGAACTGTCAAATAAATTATATTTCAATCAAGTATTTTCAAGCACCAAATCAAAGTAATTATCCATTAACAAGTAGGTGCACCAAAACCAAAATTAAAAAATGTACCTAGGTAACGTAAATTTAATGTAACTGCAAAAGTAATCTCATAAAATGAACAAGTTACTGTCCAAAAACGTTTTTCGATTGATCAAAACAACCAAGAGACATTATCAGGTTACTGTCGTTGGCGGGGCGAGCGATGTGGGACAAACACTGTGCTTGTTGCTACGGACAGAACCCGCTGTCACCAAGCTCGTAGTGCATGATACTAGAATACACACCCCAGGGGTAGTGTTGGACCTGTCGCACATACCCAGCGAAGTTGACGTACAAGGGTACGCAGGAGATGACACTCTGGGAATGGCTCTAAAAAATGCCAACATTGTAATCGGAGCCGGTGGACTCGTACGAAAGCCTGGCATTTCCGAAAAATTATGGCTGTCAAATAACACTGCTTTCATCAAAACTTTATCGATGCAGGTAGCCAAAATGGATCCCTTGCCATTTCTGGGTATAGTAACGGAGCCTATAAATTGCCTCGTACCGATGGCGACAGAAGTGCTGAGGAATCACGGGCACTATGACCCAAGGAAACTTTTCGGCGTTACTGGTTTAGACGCTTTGCGCGCTCAAACATTGTATGCTGAAGAGAACAACATCAGCCCTCGCAACTGTGTAGTACCTGTGATCGGCGGCCATTCTGAAAAAACTCTTATTCCTCTGCTTTCTCAAGCCCAACCATCTGTAGACGTTAACGACGCAATTTCACAAAATTTTACTTTGAAGTACCGTAAGTTTCATGAGAGAATAGCCAATGCCAAAAGTGGGAAATCGCCGGTTCTCTCGGTAGCGTACAGTGCTTTGCTGTTCACTCGCAGTGTGTTAAACGCTCTAGATGGTCAGCAAACTAGAGTGCACGCTTTCATAGAGAATAACGACTTTGGCACCGCATACTTTGGAGGACTAGTAGATATCAACCACGAGGGAGTCAAAGAAATGTTAAGGTATACAACTCTAACGCCATATGAATGCCAGTTATTAGAACAAAGCTTCAACGAGCTGCGCAAAGATGTGTTAAAAGGAAAGAAAGTTTTAGAATTTGCCTAAATCAAACAGTCGTAAAAATTGTAAAATAAAATTACATGTACAAATAAAGTGGGAAGTTTTCTAAATGAATAAAAACGTTTAACCAATTTACGAATATTTATTTACATAAGGTATTACAATTAAGATTTATACACAGTACGTTTGTACCATCAACAACCTAATGAAAATAATCATATCACAGAGAATAATTAATTAATGTTGATTCAACTTTTGGACAGTTTTAATAATCATACGTGATAAACGTTGTTTGCTTTTATATTTACAAAATCTTGGTTTCCTTTTCTTCTTGTTCTGTAGAAATATGTAAACTTAGAAAAGGACGGACATATTATCAGAAAATTGCAACTATATTACAAACAACGCTTAAAATAAGACCTCGATAGTTTGAATCCAATCTTGGTCCCGCAAACCACAAACACAATACAAAATATTTTTTTGTAAAAGTCCAAGGAGACTACTCTGTGTACAAATAGCTCGACTTGGTATCAGTCAACAAAAAGTTTGCAGACTGCGGGCTACCTTAATATGTAACTGGCAATACTACATCTAAGCTAAATTAGGAATCAAATACTGAACACTTCACTTTTGGCTAATCAATTGATTTAATAGAATTCATTTATTCATCTTTCCGATCGAGACAAATCATGATATAACACATTTCAAACTACACTACTTCACGACCACATAAAAACAACATTTCAGATACATGAACATTTGTAAAAAGGGTAAAACTACTTACAATAAAATTCTTCACGAAATATATCATCCGATCAATAAGAAACAAAATCAAACAGTCTAATTAAGAACTCCACATGTTGTATTTATAGAAAACGAGTATGTATGTACAACACTACATTCCGTACTAAGAAAACTCTACCTATACCACCATCGTACAAATCAACAATCACGCGGACCACGAAGAACAGACACCGAAATACGCAATCAGATCTTCTACCTGGAACAATTAAAATGCAAATTAATAAATGAAAAATAATAATAATTCAGAACAAATTATGTGATTTTTTATTTACTTTGTATGTGATTAAAAACATTTTAACAAATTAAAACCCTCGCTATCATCCCGTTTTCATACATATCTGGACATAGGCCACTCCAATTGCACGCTACTAAGCTCAATGTTTGGCTCTTCTGGAGAACGCCATACACTACGTTAATCTAGACGCAGTCTCCACTCCAGAACTCGTCTACCCCAACTGCTATCGGTTCTACAACAAATGTGACCTGCCCACAGCCACTTCCGTTTGCTAATCCTTTGGACTATGTCGACAAAAGTTCTCTGTCAGATCACCTCGTATCGGACCCCGACCATAGCCATAGCTGCGTGCCTTTAAAATGGTCACGCCGTATGTCATCACTGATAGGACGCACTCGTTGGAGACTTTTGTCTTCAGTAATATACTGTCTCCTTGTAAATTACCATTAGGTACTGTTGTAAAATAAACATTGCCCCGGCCCCGAAGTGTATTTTCTCCAAACATAAGCATTTACGATGAGCTTAAGATGGGGAAATGCTTTGATAAACCAATATTGAAGTAAAATCAGAATTTCTTGGTAGCAAGTAAAGAATTTGGCATTGAAAAAATTACTATTACTTTGTTTGATAGCCTAACCCTTTCTTGCGTAGTTTGAAGAAAATAGTGAGACTGGTGTGTTTAATTAACTAAATAAAATCAAACAGTATCTTACCAAAATTATTCCTCATTGCTTTTACTCATTTCACTGCCAGATTCGCTGACAGACGTCGAACGGATGCTTATTGATGTGTCCTTAAACTGACTGATAAAATCTAGAAGTTTTTGGAGATTCCTCTGCGTCTTTATCTGGTCAGCCAGGAGTTGTCGTTTCTCAGCATTGTGTTCATCCAAATTTTCTTTGAGGCTAGCGGCTCTCATTTCGAGTTTGCGTAGTTCCACACATAGCTTTATGTTCTTCTCTTGAAGGCTTTTTCTTTCTGCTAGTTTGTCTGAAATTAATTATGTAAGTTTGTTGTTATCTTTATACATTGTACAGGTGTACGATATAAAGATCTCTGAAAGAAAGAAAGAATGAAAGAAAATATTTATTTGTGAGAATGTAGTACAAATATAGGTGTTTGTGTTATGTGTATGGAATCTCACACATTCTACCGAATTGGTGTACAAATTATTTCGCTTAATATCTAGTTATAACTATGCACTACTTATTCTAAGTCTATGATAGGTCATCTAAATAATCTTTAGTGGAATAATAACATTTATTTAGCAAAATCTCAAACAATTTTCTTTTAAAAGACATTAGGTTAAGATTTTTTAGGTCATTTGGAAGTTTATTGTAAATTTTGATAGCCATGCAATATGAGTTTCTGCTATATAATGTTGTGCGTTGGCTCGGTACAAATAATTTATTAGGGTATCTACTATTTCTACTAGTAACACATTTTTTCTTAATAAAGAGATCCGGGTTTTTGTATAGAAAAATAGAAATTCTGTAATTTTTTAATACCATTTAATTTATCAATTTTTGAATACCAAAGTAATTTTTTTACGAATTATATGTACTTTCTATGATGACTCACATGATCGTGAGTACCTGGACTGATACTTTTATTATAAGTTTGAAATCGAAAGCGGACTTTGCATAGCAGTGAAAACTTACAGGCTGATGATGGGTCCAGAGAATAACTTTCCTCTAGACTCCACTGGAAAATAAAATCTATTCCGACCTTCAGGCAACGAAGGCGAACTATAATAAATTGGAGCCCCAGTGGACACATTATTTATGGAGGTCGAAAGGACTAAGAGTGGACCAACTTAAAGGAAGGCCTCTGTTCAGCAGTACTTTTACTTTTACTTCGATTACTTTCTGCAACAATGATGACTGCACAGTTGACGCGGTGGCTGGGAAACCGACTGCCGAGCGACGTGTCAAGAACAACTCTTTACGCGATCAACAAATTGTTGTTCCGGGTTTGGATTCGATCAGTGTATGTGAAATTCTATGATTGGAAAAGAAACTACATTTATTTCAAATAATTTAAGTATGGAAGAGCCATGTTTCGGCACGAATGGATGCCGACCCATCGACCGGAGTGATACCACACAGACCCACAGAAAACCGGCATCGAACGACCACAGCGTTGTGTTTCGCCGAGTAAGTGAGGTTACCGGAGGCCCAATCCTTGCCCTCCCCTAATCCCTCCCCAATCCTTAGATCTCCAAATCTTTTATCCCCAAAGGGTCGGCAACGCACTAACTCTTCTGTTGTTGCGGGTGTCCATGGGCGGCGCTCTTTGCTTACCATCAGGTTATCAATATGCCCGTTTGCCGACCTATCGCATAAGAAAAGAAACCCCGACACAGGAGAAGACGGTAGTGTATGACAACGATTGTTAAAATAATAAAAAAAATATGGTAAGTATTGTAGGTAAGTTACCTCGGTAGAGTTGCTTGTGCAACAGCGGGTCTGGGTCGGGGTCGGGGTCGCGCGGGGCGTGCGTGGGGTCGGGCAGTACGGCCCCGCAGTCGCAGCGCGCCGCCGCCCGCCCGCAGCCCGTGTGTTGCCACGCGCCGCACGCCGCGCACCACGCCAGCAGGGACGCCACGTCTGTACGCACACATATCATATACATTATTGACACTCATTCACAGATGGGGTTACCATATCTCAGGATTTGACCTGTTAAATCAGGATTTTTTCGACTTATCTTAAGATTGCGGCCAGATTTTGTAAATCTCGCAATATCTTAGGATTTTCAATAAAGGGGTCAGGTTACTGTTTAAAGATTCCTTTATTAAATATACCTTTACTAAAAAAGTATTGGAGTTAAAATCTTTACTTATTTACCAAGTAAAACCAACCTAAAATAATTTTCTTTTCGTTAAAAATGCAGTTGAAATCTATACTAATTTATCCAAGTCTATAAAATATCAGGACTTATGCATAGAAATCAGGCTTTATCTCCGCTCTTTTATATTTTTCATCTGGTAACCCTACTCACACACAACAATTTGCCTCTTCTGTGATTTCACTTTTCAAAAAGGTCAACCAATGCTGGGTTCACGCATGCTATGTGAGTGAGAGTATCTACCTACCTACCTACCTTTATAGGCAACAGAAATATGTCATCAGTTCACCACATTTGTATAAATATCACGGTTAATGAAACAAAACCACATTAAAATTTGATACCTCATTTCAGAGGTCAAAAAATTTATTTCAATGCAAAGCACCTCAATACCTAGATACATATGAAAACTTTAGCACAAGATCCCCATGAACTAAAAGTCTATTAGAAGATTTCTTCAACTATAATGTAGTATACAAAATAATAAGCAGATAGGTTGAGTCCCATGCTTAAGAGGAGTTTTGTGCTGATTTTTCATAATTATTAATTCAAAACTAAACTTACCATTTCGTCCACACACTTGACAAACTTTTTTATGTGTTGGATACACAGGTTCCACAGATAAGCTAGCGGGCAGAGTCGCGGCCCACGCAGGCTTACCATTAGTCCATCCTGCAGAAACAAAATTGCAAAATTAACATTTCATACAGACTTGCAAAAATATTTGACTTCACTACATACTATAGGTACAACAAAGTCGCCTTCTTTGCCCCTATATCCCTAACTATACTTACATTATAAAGAGGTAACATTTGTAGATTTGTATGTAGGGGGTAATATTTGGAACCTCTGGTCAAATTTCCAAAATTCTGTAACTGATAGATAGCTACAATGTTCCCTAGTGCTATGAAACATTACGCTAAGATCAAATGGAACCCAGGAGCAAGTGAAACCGCGAGAGCGTAGCTAGAGTATGCAACGGATTTTGATGCGGTTCTTTGAACAGATAGTGTTATTGAAGAGGAATGTTTATATGTATGTATAAAAATATCAATTAAATAGTAGAGAAATTTAGTATCAGCATAGCACCCGTGCGAAGCCGGGGCGCATCGCTAGTTTAGATGATAAACAAGCCCTACAGAAATAGACGTATTATGGTGAACTAAATTACTTTAGGTCGGGTAACGAGCAAACAGATTACCTGATGAAAGCACCCGCAACAACGGAGTTACGAGTGTGTTGTCGACCTTTTGGGGATTAGGGATTTAGAGATTTTGGGATTGAGGGAGGGGAAGGATCGGGCCTCCGGTAACCTCACTCACAAGGCGAAACACAAAGCTGTGTTTGTTTTACGCCGGTTTTCTGTGAGGCCGTGGTCAAGCTCCCACAATTACTTAATAGGAAGGCAAAATTATAATTTAAAAATACCTTTATTTTCAGTTGAAGATCCTGAAGGAGAACCCTCACGAGAAGTTTTAGTCTGCGACTGAAATAGACAAATCACAGTTATAAGAATCAATAAATATTACCTTATTAGTTCATGACTTTCACTTTCCATATTATTTCTATGTATTTGTAAAAACATGTAAGTACAAAATGTTAGTGATAAGCATTATTTTACTTAAATATGTATATTTATAAAAGATCAACATAAATTTATCTATAAGTCACCTGCTGTTTCCGGAGTTTGGCAGATCTGGTCTGCGGAGGATCATTGTGAGTTTGTAGATATGGAAATTGGTTGTACTTCTTCTTTTTCTGTAGAAATGAGATAAGTATAGCTTAAAATATTACAATAAGTTCACTATCACAACAGAGAATGCCATTTGTACACTTAAATGTATTGTTTTTAAAATCAAACTCAAATAATTATTTAAATTAGGCACAAGGAACTTTTAATTTACTTTTATACTTACGGGTAACATTTCATAATTTCCGTAAAGGAAATCATTTCTGTTTGTACTTGTAGTGGATCTCTTACGACGCTCACTTCTCTTTTTTTCCAAAAGTTCTTTCTGAAGTGGTGTCACTAAACCAATGAGTCTGAAATTTAAAAAAAAGCTATAAAAAACACGGAATGGACAACAGTTTTAAGCATTTTCTTTTTTTGAATAAACTGTGCTAAGATAATTAATTAGTATTAATTCGTGACACAATTAAGAACACGTGTAGCACATGTCAGAGCTTATACCTATTTATAGCTTGATTAACTACATAAGACAATATTATATCTGCTATGATAATTAATTAAAGTTTATAAATAATACCTTAAAAACACCTCTTTTGTGACTGGTTCCCCAGGCTCTGGTAATGGCGGGGGCGAAGGCGTCGGTGACAGAGCCACGCCTTGCGATGAATCTGAGTCAGATTTTTGTTCTTGCCACTCATTATTATCCTGATGCTTTGGTCCACTAAAATATAAAATAAATACAAATATTTGTTCACAGCTTTTGTTATATGATAGCACCTTGTCAATTTATATTACTAATTCATCAAGAAATTAACAATCTATTAACCGATAATAATAGTAGAATAATACTTATGTTTGTTAACTATTGGAATCTTTATTAATATTTCTTTAACTTGAAAGAGTAACAAAGATAGCATATTGATAATGCTTAATTTACATAAGAAACTTATATGTAACAAGTATTGTAACACTAATCTTACCTAAATGCTTCCTTGACTTTGTTCAAAACATTCACAAAGTTGTTCCTGCTATCATGAACAGTGTTGGGCAGTGGAGCAAAATTCCTTTGATATTTGTCTTTCTCATCAACCTCGCTGTGATTTGAGTTTTCTTTTTCACTAGATAATTTAGCCTCATTCTCTGTATCAGATATATTATTTTCCTTTACATCATCAGTATTCTCAGTTTTAATATGTATTTCGTTTAGTACTGATGGTTTTAACAAGGAGACAGTTCTGTTTCTGCTTCGATATTGTATCTGATGGTCCCTCAGTTGCTGGGCCACATATCTGTTGTCATTATCTACATTTATATGCTTATTCCGTGCCTTCAACCTTTGTTGGTATAACTCAAGTTCCCTTCGTAGGCGGTCCACCACTAATTTCTGTTGCAATAATAATTAATGTCAATTACATTCTTTTATTATTAATTATATTTTGTGTCACAACGAAATATTTTGTGCATGATGTGACACCTTAAAATGCTGTACATTTAATTTTATTATAGTGTATTTAATGTGTAGATGTAAGAAATAATGTAACAGATACTGGTTGTCCATAATTCAATAAATAAATTACATTGTTCATGTTTGATATTGATTGTATCATAAATTTAAAAGCAGTGTAATCTGTGTACTCTCAAATTATTTCTTGTATGTTTTAAGTGTTTGACCTTAAACTTATTGCCTAAATTAAATTATCAAAAAAAAAATTTTAACATAATTAGAAGTACTGAAACTTGTTATAAATTAATATTGTGATCTAAATATAGGACATTTTAATTTAATATCAATATGAATTTCAAAAGCCCAAAACATGGAAGTGTCAAGAAAATATTATCTAAACATTGTAGCAATCTTAATTTTATACAGTACTGAAATAGTAAGTAATTTATTGAGTATGAATACTTGCAATAAATAACCCTGTATTGCCTTTATCATAATGTTGTTATGCAATATATTTTTGTAATATAGTGACTTATGTTGGCAATGGAGATATAAATACATGTACATTATATTTTTGGCTACATTTTAACTAAGATAGGAACTTCTAAAAACAAATAAAAACAAAAATGTAGGTGTGTAACTAACCCATAGTATCGGTACGCAAACTCTCGCTTTCTAGTAAAATAACATAAATCAAACTAATGCTAATACAAAACAATCATAAAAACAACTTACTTGAGTTTGTGAAATGGAAATTATATCTTTCTCTGCTTCTTTAACTTTAGACCTGAGATGAATGTTCTGGGAACAAAGTAAAATAATATAATGCAAAGAATTTGTCTCAAATATATTTATAGCTAAGAAAACAATGAATCTTTCTTACGTTTTCATCTTCCTGAAGGCGCGCAACCCAAACCTGGAAAAGTATTCAAACCATGAATAACCACAACTTCCCTCTAGGAAATTACATTAAAAAAGTAATTCACAATCACTAGACCAACCTGATGAATTCGTATCGCATTTTTCAAGTCCGACTGCGTTTTGCGAATATCTTCCTTAATTTCATTAGACACTTCCATTCTTTTATTTTATTTTCTAATCCAGATATTATAATTCGTTTCACAGTTTATATTTATATAAATTTTAAAGTTTTATTGAAATTTAAAACAAAAACTACCGATATGTTCATGAAGAAACAACTCTTGTTTCGTAGTTCACACAAGGATGTATGAATCGCGAATTAAACTAAGAAGCTTTCACAAACTTTATATTACGTGCCGAATGTTCGTAAACAAATAAAATAGAATTAATTTACAGTTGAATAAAATTATTTCCATTTTAATTATGAGCTAAATAGGATTAAAATAAATTGCACTATTATAACTTTAGTCAACGAAGTGAGTTGAATTGAAATAATTATATACAATACACACACAAGCAAACATTGCTGCCCACATACAAAAACTCCATCGCACTCATCTTCGCAAGTTCCGGAAATTGTGATTTGACATGAAAACTGAAAGTTCTCTATTACACGAACTACAATCCTTTCTGGAGGCTTAACAATCTATTTTTAAGTAATTAAAGTCAATTTTCCTCAAATAATATTAATATTTATATCATTTAACCAATACATAAATTCACAAGTTTGTTTAAGAGACAAGAACAATTTGGACAATGCAAATATAACATATAAAACTAAAACATACAGAATCATAAAAAGTATTTTATAATATTTAAATAATAAAATCGATACTGACTGTTATTTAAAGATTAAAATCTATCTATACCGTAACCGTAGGTACATCTTAAAATAACGTAGTTGTAATGTGTTTGTGAAGAAGCTGAATTTGCAATGTTGCCAAGCAAACTTTTAAAACCTAGGCTATTTTATCTGTTTCTTTCTTTCTTGAAGTTTGAATGATAGCTCAATAAACACTTCTCATTTTCTTTAAAAATCATTCATTCATTCAATCTAATCAATGTCGCCGATATCATAGTCCCGGTATGTGGAAAAATTGCAAATTGGAATAGGCTGTGTGAACTTAATAATTGCAAATATAATCATTTAGAAATAAACATTTCCTGGCGTTCGTTACAGTTATTAAGTTTTAAGAAAAATTGCCGAGACAATAATCTTCTATTACATCAAAAACGATATGTTCATGTTACAATTTTTGCAGCAGTGATTGGCGCCACACGACAAAAGGTTGTTTATACGAAAGTGTTAAATTCAATAGAATTTAAAATGTCCGTCAAACGACAAGCGACTACTGAATTAAATCACGACAATTGGGATCAGGATGATCCCGCAGACCATGAAGAAATGGGAACATTTAAAGTAGCTCCAAAAGAACAGCTTGAAAAACGTGTTATCAGAACTGCAAAACGGCGAAGTACCCAACTCAGTGGGGACGAGGTAAATCTCAACATTTGTGTAATTTGTTGAAAATTAGTTTGTCATTCGTTAGAATTAATTGCTCAGTACTTTTTGAAATCCTTAGTGCATTATAATTAACCAGGTACAATTTAAACTTATTTGTAGCCTTTTTTTAATTGACATTGAAAGAACTCATAGTGTCATGCTGGACTATTTGACCAAGATTAATAATTAGCCCTATTTGTCAACTGTTGTTAGGCTGTTATTATGTGATAACAATAAGTATACAACTAGTGAAATCCATTTATTAGAACTATATTTATTTTGATATAGACTATCTATATCTGTCTATTAAGAGTACCTAGATATTTGATATAAGAGGATGCCTGAATACCTTATGGTCTTCCCCATCCATTAGGTTTTAGTGTATGATAAATTATACTTGAAACTTGTTTATAAGTATTATTTTGTGATGTGTATACAAAAAACTTAGAGGTTATATTTTTCTTTAATATACCTAACTATGAAACCTGATAATCATTATCAGTAATTTAGTATCTTAATCTTTCAACTGTCTTGAAATTTTACATTATAACATCCACATCAGTATTTAAAAAAACAAAATGAATACATGTTACTTGTATTTTTGGACTATCACCATTTAAAACGGTATTAATTGAATTTGCAGTTATCCCATAGTAATTTTGTAATTATAGTAATTATATATATATATATTAAACATATATTCACTTTGCCTATTGTGGTAATTTCAATGCATGATGATTTATGTAAAGAGACCTTTGCTGAGCAATGAGCATTTAAGAATGTGTTATGATGTTAAATATGGTCTTAGTATCCTTGCATAACATATTTTTTTTTTCTTTCAGCCCAAGAAAAGTGTCTTTAGTGGATTCAGTGGCTTCAACAAGGCACAACCATCATCCTTTGACTTTTTGTCCAAATTAACCAGTAACGGCCAGAATGGCAATAATGACACCAGTAGTTCAGCCAGTAAAGCAGATTCTTCAGTGACATCTAGCTTATTTTCAAGTAAACCTCTTGCCAGTCCAAGCAGTGGTTTATTTGGCAATCAATCAAACACTACACCCAGCAAATCTCCATTTGGATCACCGGCAAATCCTGCGACACAGACAGGCTCAAGCTCATTATTTGGGATACCTTCTCAAAACACAAGTTCATCTATGTTTATGACATCTAAAGCAGATTCAACTGTCAAAGACTCTCCATTTAAAATTCAAACAGTTACAAGTTCTACAGATAATTCAGACTCAACAACAACAACCTTAACAAAAACATCTAATTTATCTGTTACAACCATGAAGTTTGACATTCCATCTAGCAGTGCTAACATAACAAAATCATTATTCCCAACTACATCAAATTCTTCACCATTTAAAATTCAAACCACATCAAATACTACTGCTGCATCCACTTCGACAGCAAAGAACACTTTTGGTATAACTTCAAAACCAGAATTGAATTCTAGTGATTCAGAAAAGAACCCAAATAATACTAAGAATGACAAGAAAATGAAGTATTACTCAAAATTAAAAGGATTAAATGAATCTGTATCTGATTGGATAAACAAGCATGTGGAACAAACTCCACTCTGCATACTGACACCAATATTCAAGGACTATGAAAAGTATTTAAAAGAAATTCAAGATGAATATAAAGGTTCAGATGAAGAAGTGGATATACAGTCTGATAAAAATTCTACTGAAAATAAACCACTCTTTGGCAGTGATGCTAAAAAATCCTCAATTTTTGCTTTGCCCCCAAAATCAGAAGCAGTTCCTACTTTGACAACTCCAAGTAATGCTAATTCAGCCACAGAAAAACCAAGCTCATTCTCCTTTGGTATTGGGTCAAGTACTAATACTTCAAGTACAATCACAACCAGCTCTGCAGGATTCTCTTTTGGAGCGATTACATCAAGCACAGCTAGTGCTGTTGCTCCTTCTCCCTTCTCCTTTGCCACTTCCACAACTACAACAGCAGCCAATGGAACTGCTGCACCATTTTCATTTGGGATTGGAAAGCCTTTTAGTTTTAATTCTAATATTAAACAAAACACAGAGACTAGTGAAGAAGCAAATGAAGAAGATGATACACCACCTAAAGTAGAGTTTACACCTGTTGTAGAAGAGAATTCAGTTTATGATAAACGTTGTAAAGTGTTTGTGAAAAAAGATGGTAGCTTTGTTGACAAAGGTGTTGGTACTCTATATATCAAGAAAATAGAGGAAAGTGAGAAACACCAGCTTCTTGTTAGAGCCAATACTAACCTTGGTACCATTTTAGTTAATTTGATATTAGCATCTGCCATTCCCACACAACGTATGGGCAAAAATAATGTCATGTTAGTATGCATACCCACTCCAGACGCAAAACCGCCTCCAACACCTATCTTGATTCGAGTTAAGACTTCAGAAGAAGCTGATGAACTGCTACAAACTTTAGACAAATATAAAAAATGATTTTGTATTTTTCTGATATACCCTGGATTTTTTTTTCTGTACTGACCCATGGTTATTAATAATATTGTTTATGAGTAGCAAGTCTAGAAAATCAAATTTTATATTCAAATTGTTTTTTTGTTTTCTTTATTTTATTTTATTTTTTTAGTACATATAGTTTTTAACACTGAAAGCATATTAATTATTGTACTAAAACCAATACTGTATTGGTAAACAAAACTGATATTCGTATCGTCATGTAAACAATTGTAATGCAATAAATCCGGAAATCTAAAATACATTATCTTGTAAAGCATTGTTCATTTGCGACTTATTGCTAATAAAATCCACAATGATGATGGGCATGATCCCCGCAACTAAAAAGTATTACCTACGAAGGTTTCGGGTTCAACGGTGCACAAGTAGATTCACAAACAACAACAAACATATTCTCTCTCTACTCTAAATTCGAGATGGGGTCACCTGAGATAGGTAGTAATGCGACAAATGGACAACCCTTTATAAAACTGAAAGGTAATCGCGATCGGTACTGGTTCTGTCACCCATACATGTCGCGGGTTCGATACCCTGTCTGAGTGTATTTATAAGGTATTTATGTGCAAAAAATAATTTGGTGTCATTGTGGTGAATATCACGCCAAATTTTGCGGAATTTAGGCAGTTCTCACACTGCCCCGCATGATGCAGCGTAGCGCGTGGATTCGTGTTCTTCCGTTGCTTGTAACTAAGTAGCTCCTTTTGTATGGAAAACACGCACAGTCTAACACACAGAAAATGCATCCACGCGCATTCATGTGGATCACGCGGAGAAACATGCACACCCGCGCGTAGGTGCGGGGCGAGACGCAAGGTATGGCACACCGAATCCAGTGCCACGCGTGATATTGAATGGTTGGTTGGTTGTACCCAGTATCTTATAATACTACCTGGTATAGGTTTTAATTTGACGAATTTAGACAAGTTTTGTTTTAATTTGACGGTATAAAAAGCAAACAGTATAATGGCAGCGACCTGAATGAGTTCTACACTATTAAGCATTTTTACCCCCGACGCAAAAAGAGGGGTGTTATAAGTTTGACGTGTCTGTCTGTGGCATCCTGGAGCCTGAACGGGTGAAGCGATTTCTATTTAGTTTTTTTTTGTATTAAAGGTGACTTACGTGCTAGTGTTCTTAGACACGTTTGACGAAAATCGGTTGAGCCGTTTAGAAGTTAAGGGGGGAAGGGTAACCGAAGGTCTGCAAATATACTCGATGGGGTCTCAAATGAAAGCGCACTGAAAGGGAATGTTCATGACTTAATCGATAGGAAATGATATAAAAAAGTATAAAATAAAAAAATAAATTATACCCCCGACAAAATAGAAATATGTAGTAGATAATAAAATGTTCGGATCGGTCCCCAACGCCACGTTTTCTTTTAATTATAACTTTTCAAAGGAATATTAGACTTTTGTCAGGGGTTTTCTAAATTTTAATTATCAAAACTATCTCGATGCTCGGTACTGCACGACCACCACAGACTCCACAGAGAACGGCGGATAAGTGAGAAGCCGCCGTGCGTGAATCTACAAAACGCACCTACGCGCGTGAGTGCGCTAAAAACCCGCACGATGATGCAGATCTGCAGTCCCGCAGATACCCGCGTAGGTGCGTCGACACGTAATATGCTGCAGCATGATGCGGGTTAGTGTGAAAATCGCCTTAACTTTGGATGGATTTTTTTTTTTTGTGAGGGGAAAATCATCAAATGACTTCTCCCGCCCAGGGCCGGGCAGGAGGGAGTGTCAGACTCTTACTGACTAAAAACCCCCCTGTTCCTTCTCCTGCTCTGTGCCGAGGTCGCGGTACCTCATTGCGCTTACCCCGCAACCCCGGCTAAACATCAGCCCTTTAGGGCCCCGTCTGTGGTGGTCGAATGGCTCTTTGAGGCGCGCGCGGAACGCTACGCGCCGTACGCTCGGGCCTGGTTCTGGTCGGGCGGCGAGCTGCCCTTACTCGCCGACCGCAGGCCCGTGCTTACGGTGGCCGGAGATCGTCCCTCGATCCCCGACGCCCGTAGTGTCGCCAGTTGCGGCTGCTGGGGCGTGAGGAGCAGGATTGCTCCCTCACGCGGGCCGCCTCTCTCTTTGCGAGCATGACTGCTTCACAAAAGGAGGAGACGGCGTCCCAGTTCCTCTCACTAACTTTGGATGGGTTAAAGGGTTATTTTAAAAGGTTTTGAACATTTACTCAAGAAGCCTAGAAAAGTCTAAGTAGCTGACTTAGGTATTTCGTAGAACAAGAACCTCAACAGCATGTAGAGTTCCAAGACTTATTGTAAATGGGTTTTCATTTAGTTGGCTGGCTAGTCACAAAATTATTGGGTTGCGGAACGTCTTCTCTTTCTGCGTCGAATCGTACATCTACGCCTTAGTGCAGTAGTGTGTTCGGCATGACAACTGTCTAATGTGGATATAATACAAGATATTAGATTAGGGATATTGTTCCAACAAGTTGCAGAGACATACCACAAGTCAACGTTGGGCGATACCTATGCCCTAGTAAAAATACGGCTTGAGGGTACCCACCTTTGTCAGTCACTGACTGAATAAAATAAAGCCATAGATAAAATAAAACTTATATTTTATTTATAACCTACCATACATTTCTTTAAATACAGCAGTATTCATGGCACTGAGCAATTACATCAAGCCCATGTAACCAATTCGTAATTTATACTTTTAAGATTATAAGCATATTCTTACAAAATGATTTATTATACAATTTTCCCAATAAAATTACACCAAAAAATTAATCATCCTTATGACTATGCACCATTTTTGTTGAAAATTAATTTTAAATAAAAATTCATTTGCATCCAGCAAATCATGTCATAAAATTAAATTAAATTATTGCACAACTAAGTTCCAGCAACAAAACTGTTAGAGGTCATCTGGCCTAAACCCATTTGAATCCTGTGCATATGAATTTCTACATTATTTTGAAATAATTTCTGATGATGTGGTTCTAATTTCATTTTGATTTGTTCCATTGTACCTTGCAAAACACTTAATTCATATGCATTTTGATCTGAATCTGACAGGCTTTTTACTTGAAGCATTAATGCAATTAGGTCTGTAATTAGATCAAGTAAGTTGGGGTCTTTAACAGACCCATTATTATTTTTTTCTACTAACAAAGATGCCTTCTCTCGGCATATTTCTCTCAGATGTGAAGGCACTAACATTGCAGCTAGACTAGGCTCTGGGGCTATTTGTTGGCAGTACTGTTGGACATCATTAATATAATCTTGTAAATCCATATTCATTCTTTCCAAATCTATTACAACTGAAGCATATTTTCTTTCAAAGTCTTCAGGTGTCTTTTGGCCAAATGATTTTATTTTCTCAGCATCACAATTGTATTCTTTAAGCAATTTAATTTTATGCCGTTTGACATTTAATATTTTTCTTAGTTTCACAATTAGTTCTAGAAGGGCATATGGGTAACTGCCAATAGTATCTATTTGTTTTGCTATATCTGAACAACCAATAAGAGGATCACCTTGTGCATTGTTATTTGTAGGTTCATACAAGCTTATTATATCTTGGAGAACAAACCGTGGGCGAAACTTCTTTGTTATACTAGAAAGACATATAGTATCAGGAGGTTCATTAGACAGAACTTCATAATCTGGTACAGAATGTGTTCCAAGTCTTGGTCTTTCAAATGTTATCCTGTATGTATTGTTAGATGTATCTACTGCATCTATACAACCTGTAAATAAACCATCTTGTGGTTTACGCAATCTTGCTGTTACTTTAGTTCCCACTACTAACTGCATTGGTATTTCATTTGGCAAATCTTTAACACTAATATCAGCAGCTTTCCTTTGTTGTATATACCTTATTAATTTGCGTTTTCTTTCTAATTCTCTTCTCTCTTCATCAAAGAATGCCTGAGAACATCTACGAGGTTTACCCATCATTCTTCGGATTTTAGACCATTGCACTTGGGTTAACTTTCGGTTAGTAAGTTGTGGAAAGGATTCTCTCAAACAAATCATGAAATCATTTTCTCCATCAAATAAAACCTTATCAATGTTACTGTAAAAGTATTCAAAACAGACCCATTTATGAGCTTTTGGTAACTTTAACAAGTTTCTTAACCTCATCCCAATCCGATGGCCAGATCTGTTGTCAGGTGATTGTGTTCCAGCAGGTTCAACCTTTTCATCATATTTATCATTTGATCTTTGGACTTTTGTCGGTGACTTCTGTTTCTTAGCACTTGGTTGTTTGTTGGGAGTTTTAGCTATGATTTTAGGTGTTCTTTTTGGTGATTGACGTGGTGGTGAAGTATTTACAAAATCATCAACAAATATAAATCTATTTTTCTTCCTTATACGAGCTGGCATGCCGCGAGCATTAAGCTTTTGGACGGGTTCACTGGGTGCTGGTTTTGGCGGTAACTTAGTGCCAACTCTATGAAGGCCAAGAGCAGCAGGGCCAAAAGCCGGTGGTTCTTCTTCTTCCTCCGGAAAATCCATGTCCATTGGTTCATCTTTAACTCGATAATGAGATCGGGGTGAAAAATCGTCCCCATCAGGATCTCCTAAACAAAAGTAACACTATCAGTATATATCACAAACTACAATAAAACTTATCACTAATTTCATAGGTAAACAAACGTTCTCAAAAGGATATTTTTAGATCAAACCCAGTAAGAGTTTTTAAATATTACTTCCAATGGTAAAGTGATTGACATTTCGGCTGGAAATTTGAATATTTTCAAATTTTGAATCTAGCGAACCACATTTCAATTATAGCTCCAGAGGAGAACACGGTTTAAAAATCTCACACAAACACTGGTACGTTTACAAATAATAACAGCATTTATTTAAACAACGCATTATTCTTCGAAATATTCAAATATTTAAATAAAATATCATTATAAACAAAACTTACTTTCTGATTTATCCGCCATGTTGATGTACTTAGTAAATTTGATTTGATTTTGATTTGAAGATGAAAGCGCCAAGAAAAAAATAAGTTCGGATACAACACTTTATTGAAGTCTTCGTAGAACGGACAAAAACTTATTATTATCTATTGTTTAATTAAAACATGAACCATTTTATATTTCAATAATAAACTTTTTA